GTTTTCAGAAACCCTTGGCAGACGTATACCCATATATTTATAGAGTTATACCAAAACTCTAAATTAATTAAAGCCCTAACTAAATCCTAACTGGCCCATAGAAGTTAATTAAAACCTGTGTCGGCTAATACGTGAATATACAGAAAACACAATCCTACTTTAAACCGATTTAATTAAATAAACCCCATTATCAATTAAGTCAAACAAAACATCATAAAACAATTTAATTTAAAACAATGTAATAAAAGAAAACCAAACAATTTAATCAATTAATTAAAACAAAAAAAATAAATTTAAATAACCATGGAAGAAACACACAATTAAAATAATTTAAATAAAAGATTAGACAATTAAATAAATGTCAGGACTATCCTTTTAAAATTAGAGGTATTATAGGTTTTGTAGTAGGTGGAGGAAAGTGTAAGTGTGGTTCCCCTGGTAATGTGGATGGAAGAGGTGGTGGATAGACCTGTGTGAGTGAGGTGATAGTAGATGGAGGTTTTTTGAGGATGAACTTAGGTGATGATTGTTTAGGGGGAAGTAAGGCTTGGTGTGAATTCACTTGTGTGTGGTTATTCTTTGTCTGTTGTGTTGGTTTGGAATATGGTTTTGTAAGGGCTATATGATTGTTTGAGGATTTTGGGAAGTAAGAAAGGGTGGTGTTATGATGAATCAGTCTAGTAAAAGGTGGTTTTAGGTGATTTGCAATTGGATTTCTTACTGATGGAGGACTCTTGAGGTTGGGAGGAGTTGGTTTAGAGAGGAGTTGGTTTCTAAAACAAAAGTGAGGTTATGTGGTCGGTTTAACAATTGCTTTGTATTTTTGTTCTGATCCGAAGTAGAAGTAATGTTTTTGCTTTAGTGTGTGTTTAACACTATTTTGAAGCTTGTTTGGTAACGTTAATTTGTTACAAGATTTTTTAAAACACAAACATAAGAGCATATTTGTCAAAAAGTGTTACAAGTTTGAAATTTTGAATGGCTAGTTAAAAATATTAATTTAGAAAAAAAAAATTGAATCGTGCTTTGCTACTATGCGGAAGTAAACAAAAAATATCATTTTGATACTTCTGATTTTGACCTTAATTTTAAAAGTGTTTCGGTACTATTCAAATGATAACAAACGTTACCAAATATGCTTCGTATTTTTGCTTTGTTATAATATACTAGCAAAAACAAAAAAATATGAAGTAAAAGCATTAGCTAAATAGACAAGTAATTTGCATAGTGAAAAAAAAAAAAAAAAAAAAAAAAAACAAAACTATGTACAAACAAAGACGGAGTGGATAGATTATAATAAGCCGCGTAGGAAAAAAAAGTGTGTTTATGAATATATTGCTTGTCAATACTCAATCCATATATATTTATTTTATTTTTTATTTTTTTATTGGATTCAATTTTTATAATATTTTTGTTACAGTTGGACCACTTTGTTTATCTGGATGAATTTAACTGCTTCCGAATTGAATCATTAGCGTGACACCAAATAAAAAATTTACATTATTAAATAGGACTAATGCCATTCATATTTAACCATTTCACAAAATTTAAATTATTAAATAAAATTAACAATAAACTCATATATGTCCATTTCAATTTCCATTAAAATTCAAACTTAGGACAAAACGTGTAACATTAATGAATTTGTGTAATTGAAATGAATAGTTTTTCAACAACCGTGTGATGTGATGTGAATGTGTGATAAGTGTTTTTGGCATACATTGTTCCTCTTTTTTTCCTTGAACACCCTCAATCCAAGTAATGGCCTATCTTTTAATTGTTAGGGTTCTTAAACGGACATGCACGGCAGTCTCCATTCTCTAAATACTTGTTGGCAATAGTTTAGGCTGTAAACATATTAGATTCGGATTGAATCAGACTATTTGAACTGAATTAGATAGGACTCTCCTTAATCAAATTCAATTGATAGTACAAATTCATTTTTTTGTTTTTTGTTTTATCCTGACAATACGAAGCCAACAAGACAAACAACAAGCAAATTAAAAATTACAATCAACTAAGGCCAACTCTAAAATATCAAAAGGAATATGGACAAGGGCCACATCCTAAGCAATATGGCGGTTTGATTCAGTACGATTTCATTAAGAATCGGAATCAGTCACAACAGTTATTTAAAAATTGAACCGAAACCAGAATTGTTATATATAGAACCGAACGGAACCGACCCATGAATACCAATTCGATTTGGTTCGATTCCACGATTCCCCAACTATATACTTTTTTTCCTTACTGTTCCCTTACTTATTTGAGGCTTTGGGCCCATAGCTAAAATAATTAAACAAAATACAGTAACAAAAATAAAAATATAAATAAATACAAAAACTAAAACTTCAAATTGATTGTCAATATTCACAATATGAGAGTTAAATAGGCCTGAGACGGTGTGTGGGTCTCAGAAGATGAGAGGACTGAGGAGTCGATACAGATTATAGAAGATGAGAGGACTGAGGAGGGGAGGCAAGGCGGGTTCAAAGATCAGAACTTGAGAAGTTAGGTTTAGGTTAACATATGAGTTTTTGTGGTTTACATCAAATGACTCAAGTCAATGAGTCAATGATCGGATACAAAACAAAAGGACCAAGTTGGATCACGTGGTGAGTGACTGAGTGCGGCCTCGGAAGTGGTGTTACGGGTGTATGACAATTGTCCGTATGTAATTAATAATATATATAATCATATATATATATATATATGGTTCGGCTCCCAATGATTCTCATCGGTCTGGAACCAGAACCGAACTGGAATCGAAACTGAAATCGTGAGAATCGAAACTGAAACCTCGGTTTAATTCGGTTCCACGATTCCTTGGTTTTTTTGTGCACCTCTAATTACAAATATGACTAAAACGGACGAAATATTCAATCGTCCTGGAAGCTTGCTGGATATTGGAGACAATAACCTAAATTTCAGACAGACCGAACAACAGCCTTACAAACCAACAAAGAGTCACACTCAAACCAGACATGAGAATAATTGAAATTCAATGTCCAAAACACAGCCTTATAACCTCAGCCGAAGATGCACTGCAAGCAGCAAATGGAGCGAAAACAATAGCCTGGACAATGTTTACCTGATCCATCACGAAAAACAGCACCACTACCTCCAATGTAAATATACCAGGAAAAGGAAGCATCAACGTTGCACATTAAAGTACCATCCCTTGGAGGGGTCCATTAGGGAAGAGATACACAAGACAAACGCTCAAAACTACTGTGAGACATTTGTTTTGAGATGAATTTAGGAGTTTCCAAGAACTCCTATAATTGATCCAAAGCTTTGCTTTTAAACTGTGTGAATAGACCAACTTTCATTATTAAAAATTAGTTGGTTCTGGCTTTCCAATCAACAGCCAAAAGAAACAAAACTAATGACATTAGATCTATCATTTTTAATTGTCAAAGAACGAACAATTTCCGTCCACCATTTAGAAAAAGACACTGAAAGGCCAGAGGAGAGTTCGAACCTTAGGAGACAGTTTTCAAAATGTCATTGAACTCTTGACTTTCTACTAAAATAAGTGAGAAAGTACCACTAGGTTATACAGTCTTTGGTAGTGACATTTACTACTTAAAGCACATAATTGTAACAATATATATATTATATATATATATATAGAGAGAGAGAGAGAGGAGGGGGGGGGATGATAAAAAGTATTTTGATGATGTGTAAATATTATTGTATTATGTACCATATATTCCATTTGTTTAGTTAACAAATTATTATATTTTAACCAGTTTTTGAAATCAAATGGAGAGTAATTTTACTTCAATACTCAATTATATAAAAAAGAAAATAATAAAATAATATATATATATATATATCTATATATATTGACGAAGGCCTGGCCCAGCCCTTGTAGAGTAAATTGGGCCCATACCTGTTTGACTTCAAGTTGCCAACCAGGCTTTAGGAAGGACTGGCCCAGCTCTAAGGACGAGCCTCTGAGGCAAATTCAACTTTAGGCCTCCAAGCTGGACTTTTTACTTTTGTACTTTACACTTACTCAAAATTGATCTAAACTTGCTCAAAATTCCTTCTACTGCTGTTTAATTAAATTAAAATTTATGTAGTGAAAATTTTAAATGTTGAAAATTTAAGGGCTAATCGTAAATTAATTATTTTTTCTTATTTTTTTGAATTTAAATGTTCGGTGTTGCTAAAAAAACAAACGAAAATCGTCAATTGAAATTTTAGCTCGTAAACTTGATATATTGAGTGGAACTTGTTTTTTAAAGTAAAACTTATTTAATTAAATGATTTACAAGTTGTATTATCACACCTGCTTACTTAATTGAATAATCATTTAATTTCTTCAAAACTTAATATTCACTTAAATATTTAGTTTGATAATAAAAACTAAAAACCAAAAGTTTGAAGTGTTGAATATTTAATACTTACAATATATTGAAAATCTTTTTGATACCATTTTTTAGGGTTTTTATTGTTAGAAGAAAAATTCATTTATTCATAATTAAGTATTGAATTTAATTATCAATGTCAGGTTGCACCATTGTGATCTTGATGACGTGGGGATAAGGTCGGAATAAGGAAGTAGCCTCTTTGCAAAGAGAGGTAAGATTGTGTACATATGATCCTCCTCACCATTGGGTTTGTACACGTTGCTCTATTACAAAAGCCATGAATTTGAAATTGAAAATAGTTTCATCAGGCAAAAGAGTAAGTTTCCTCACACCTAAGGGCTGCTTAGTTTGTAATTCTAAAATAATTCTTAATAAATTCAGAAAATATAAATTTTTTTTTTTCACCAAACAAATAAATTTATAATTGAATTTTCAGAAAAAGTAAATCAAGTAAAATTTTTATACATTTTTTAATTTTAAATATTTTCAAAAATAAAAAACTATTTTCAAAATATTGCAAACCAAACAAAGCCTTAAGGAAAACTTTTAATATAATGTAAATTTTTTATTTATTTATTAAAATACACACTCAAGAGAGGGCTCTTGTGTAGTAGCCACATTCTTTAGTCCCACATTATCATCTTATACAACAACAGACATCTCTGTTTTTATTATCAGTTCCATTTTGGTTTCCTGAACAGAAGGAGCATCATGGCCTTCTATTCTTCTTCTTCTCCCTCTTCTTTACTATCTTCAAATTTGCGAATTCCTATCAATCACGTGCCATTGCCATCTCCAAACCACCACTCGCCATCGCGATCGAACTCCCACCGGCGCGTTCGACGCCGCACCATTTTTGCGCCACCGAGAACCAGCAAGAGGTTAACGAAATGCTTTTCTCAGAGGCAATTCACCGAACAGGAAGAAGACGTTGAACCAAAACGCGAAGAACAATTCGAATTCGAGAGACTCTTCTCTAACCTCAACCAAGCCACTTTGAAGAGAGAACCTGGTTAGAAACTACTCTTTTTCTTCTTCTTGTTATTGTGTGTACTCTGTTTCACTGACCTTAGATTGTCCGTGTTTATGGGTCTGCTCGGTTTGTCACTTAGAAAACGGTTATCAAGAACTCAGAAAACGAAACTGTTTTCATTTTTATCGGGTTTTCTCAAAAAATGTCAACCAAGCAGACTTGTATAACTTTTGGATTTTCAGTTTAACCAAGGAAGCCATGTTTCTCTATTGTTTGTACAGGAAGTCTTTCCAGTGCGGTTTTTCTTGTTGCTGGCACCACTGTATGTTCTCTTCCTCTCAGAAATGAGTCCTCTCAAAGCCTTTACAAGCGCGAATCCAACTATTAGTAACGAGTCATGTCATCGCTTGTTGAATGAACTACCTTCCTCAGTGATGTGGTTTCATATGAAATTTTATCATAACAAAAATCATAATGTGGTGTGTTTCTAATTGTTGGATGTGGGCTTGTAAAAGCTTGGAGAGAAAGAAGCTCTGTCCATGTGTGTCTCTCTCTAGTCTTATAAAATTTGATAATTTGATTTTATTATTGTGTTTAGGAAAGGTTCAAGGCTGAATTTGAATTACATTATGGTCATGCATAAATGGAATGTAGGATAAACTCAAGTGTAAAGAAAGATGAACGCTTTTAGGAATTTGATTATGAGAGGGAAAATTCTGAAATTTCTTTAAGAAAGTAATGTGGAATTTAGAAGATAAAACTAATGTAATGCTGGATATATTAATAGAATATCAAACTAGGCATTTGAAGAATTAAGGAAACTTGGTGGCATTTCGAAATCATAATGAAAACAAAAAGGGAATGTTCTAGAAATTGGCAAAATAATTCTGAAGGGGAGGAAAACTTAGGTTTTATTGTTTTTATTGTAAAGCATAAAACGGAAGCGAAGAGATAAATAAAACATGTAAAACACAAAGATATTACGTGGTTCAGCCACTAGGGCCTTCATCCACGGCACAAAGAGGCCAAAGGGCTACATCACTTTTATAAAACTCTCTCAATTCATATACAATGCAATGGTGGAGGCTCTTTTAAATAGGAGAAGAAATTATTAGAATGAAAAGAATTAGAAAATAGGAAACAAGGAGGATTTTTCTCCACTAATTCCTCTAGTAACACCAAATCTTCAATAATAGGAAACAATATCAATTACTGAAAGATTTTTCTCCACTAATTCTTCCATTAAATCTTCAATAGTTTTAATAATGTTATGCTATGTGCATCAAGAGTGAGGATCTAAGGGTCTTAGTGAAATATATGATATTACGTAAATGTGGACAAAGTTATGAAGAAAATCCTTAGATAGTTTATGTTCCTTGATTTCACAACTTCCCACAAAATACATTTCACTAACTCTCTAGGCTCTCTGTTCCTTGATTTATGTAATCTCTCATTCCTCTCCAACCAAAGAAAATACAATGTGGCAGTAAACAGATTCTTGAACATCTTATGTCTGTGACTCTTTGTTGTAAACTGCTGAGAAAAAATCAGAGCCTGTTCATGGACTGAAACGCTCCTATGGAGATTCCAATTGCAGAAATCAGAAAGACCAACCCACACCTGCCATGAGTACTCACAACAACAAAATAGGTGATCAGCAGTCTCTTCACTGTTGTGGCAAAGAACACACCTGGAAACCAAATATATTTCTCTCCTTTGCAAATATGAACTTGTCAGAATTGCATTATGCAATAACAGAACAGAATGAATAGACCATCTAGGCCTACCACCATTCCAACATAATTTAGACCAAAAGACTTCTTGTCTCTTTACTAAGCATGCCTTGAAAGCACCTTTAAAAGAGAACCTAGTAGATTGCCACAATAACTGGTCAGTGCCCCCGTGAATTTTGTGCCCTGAAAGTACTGAAACACCTCTTGAATACATCCCTCAAATTTCAAGTCATCCCAGTGCAGCTTTACAATGAACTCACTCTGATGAACCAGCCTATTTCTGCTGAGACTCCTCAAGGTTCTGTAGTGAAAAACCTCTGTCAAGAAATTACCATCACACCATGGATCCAAAAACATCTTCACATCTTGACCATTACCAAGTCTGTATCTACAGTTCAATTTAACAATATCTCTGACTGAGATACTCTTCCAAATTGTGGAGTATGAGTTCCTAGGCACCACATGCCAGTGGGAAGCCTTTTTCAGGTAACAGTCCCTAGGCACCACATGCTCAATTAATCGATTTTAACTAATTTTTGAATTAAATTAAACATAAATTAAAAAATCAACTAAGGAAAAAGCATGTAAATTGAATCATTCATCATGGTTGAAAGCACCATGGGGAGGGGTATAACCAGGAGACTTAGTCCAGACAATTGAATCCACTGTGAGAAAGTATTATAAACTTTAGAAAAACTGCAGTTACCAGACGATTAGGTTTACCAGTTTTCTAAACTTTAGAAAAACTGCAGTTAACTCTTGACACAGACATATGTCAAACTCTCCATTCAGGTCTCCAGGCTAGTGCTCCATGATCTGCTTCTCACATGATCCGCGTCTCCATCAACACATTGATTTGCTTCTCACATGATCCGCGTCTCCATCAACACATTGATTTCCATGACTATTAACATCCAGGCTTTGGCTCGTTGTGTAGAAACATTTTGGTATTGAATTCTCTGTAACATAAAAAAGTTGATGATCTACACCTCATTGACATATTCTCACCGTTCAATGCAATCATTAAGTATGAAAGGAAGAAATTCTTGCAGAGAATTGCTAAAATGCACTCAAGGATGCTCTATATGCTATACGGATGCTCACAAATTGCTTGCATATGTTTTCAGGGCACATATGGTCTTTATATACTCCCTCTGTCCCGAAACAAGTGTTCACCTTTCCATATTTAGCTGTCGCAATTCAGAAGTTAATGTACTATATTTTACAGCATTCCCAATTTACCCTTCTTGCAATGAACTTAGAAAAACCAATTAAATGTAAAACGTCATCACTTCACTGTGGACCCACCATGGATAGATTTGGTAATTCATTCACTACCAACACAATAAAAAAATATTAAAAGCCACATCTTAAAAGTTAGGTTCCTAACAAGGGACGGAGGGAGTAATACTTAGAAGCCTATAGAAATTAGGTAAGAAAGAGATTTAAGTTTAATTTTAAAACTGAAATTCAAAGTTATCTATCAATCGAGAGATCAGGGATATATTGAATTATTGATCAATCAATAGATGACTAGTGACCTTTGATGGATATGTTGATTGATCGAAGTACCCTGTCCTTATAGCATTAGGATGTTAATTTAGGAAAATTGTGAAAACATGTTTATGCAATTCAAAAAGGGTTTTTATGAATCAAAGCATGAAACGTATGAACACTAATTGAATGAATGCATGAAAAGCATGAAAATGATGGTGATTGCATGTTCAAGAGTTGAATTTAACTTTTTTCCCTTGAATATAGCTTTGAATTCAGAATATGACCTTGGACAAGAGGTAATGAACTAACTCTAACTAATTTCTAGAAACTATCTAAAAGTTAAACAAAAGTACATACTCAATCTTGTTAACAAAATTAGCCAATGTTTGTCCTATTTGCCTAACAATACTAATCATATAACTAAAAGTAGGAATGTAGGATGGGTTAAATGAAGTAGTGATACCCCTTTAAATTGTTAGGTAAAGTCTAACCTACAATTATTAGATGAATGTTGGACGGTTAAAAAAAGATGTATTATCAAATGAATGTAGCCAAAATGCGAATGTTGAGATAGGTGCGTCGCAAGTCAAGTAAGGATTTAATTAGAAACACACATGTATGAATTGGTTGAAGTAGCACCTATGGGAGATGAATTGAGATATATTAATTAAGATAATTTGGTCTTCCTCTTCCCCTAGTATTACCCTCAACATGGACTGTCACTTTTCCTAACCGGCACACTTAAAGGCCTTATTTGTACATGTCCAAACCATCTTAACCAAGTTAACATGGGTAGGTAAAGAAAGACATAATAGCATGTGCATTGACTGAGGTTATGGCCTTAAATAGAGCAGGATGGAAACATAGGATTCATGTAGCCGATCCCAAGTAATTGGGAAAAAGGCTTGCTTCTTGTTATGTAGCAAAGATAAATAACTGCATTAGTGAGGAAGGGTGATATTGTTAATGCTAGGAGGGGGTTAGACTATAAGTAACATGGTTGAGATGGTAATAAGGAAGGTCATATTAGCATATGGTCAAAAAAATTGTAGACTTCAATAGGGCGAAATGACGAGATAGGATTCATGTAAACTATCCCGAATAATTATGAAAAAACTTTGTTGTGTTGAGTTGAAGAATAGAACAGAACATTTGATAACAATGAGAAATTTGGGAAGTCGAACTGAAAAATTAAGATAATCGAAAATTTTCATCTTACCGCACCATCATCATCCCTGCCTTTATACCTTAGTATTGGGGTTGACCATAATTTACCACTTCTATGCGCCAATATGAGCACAAAATTTACATACACAAATACCAGCCTTAGCTGTTCCTGATTTTCTTTGATGGCTGTGTCTAACATTGGTTTACTTTCATGGAATTTAATTCTATAAATAGATAGGAGCGGGGATCCTTGCAATTCCTGCAGTTACGCAAGAAGCTGGATTTGTAGCCTCCTCAGTTGCATGCATTGTTTGTTGGGTGTTTATGGTAATAATTCTAGCCTTTCCAGGCAAATTACTTCTGCAGTTCTGTTTCTTGTTTTCTGTTCTTTTCTCCTTCTTGCAAAAATTGTGAAAAACAACCTTGCTAGTGACTTACTCTTGTTTAACGACCTTTAGGCATATATTTCTGCATGACTGAATGGCAATACTAAGTCACGTCCTTGGTTTTGCAATGAATGCCAGTCTAATTGGTGCCAAGTCAATTAAAAATTTGAAATCTTCACAGTATTCTATTCACACCTTTTCCAAACCTCTCTCTGTCTCTCATATCTTGTGTATGCCTGAATGAAGTATGGTGCAAATTTAATCTATGCAGGTTGTAACTGGGCTGCTCGTTGCTGAAGTAAATGTGAAAACAATGAGTGAACTTGGTACTGGTGGCGTGTCATTGGTACTTCTCATTAACTATATTTACCCTGAGCTTGCAGTTTTCTTTAGACAAACACGTGAATGTTTTCCCCCAAACAGGAGAAAATGATATCAGAAATTTGTGGCTAATTGTTTTGACCTTACTGGTTTGTGCACCCTTTTTTTGAGTATGGAAATATTATTTATTTATTTTTTCTATTTTATTTCTGAGTTGGTAGGATGTGGGTTAAAGATTATGGCAGGGATTCCCATGCTTAATAGTTAATATATAATAGAGTTCAAGAAATTTCAACGGTTGAGAAAATATGTTGAGAATGCAATTCACCTAGACTTTTATGCTTGTGGATTTCTGTTAACAGAGATTTTCTTATTGTTAACTCTACAATGGTATCTCTCAATTAAATGTTTAATTTTATACTCAACCCTAGGGGTTAAATTATAATTTCTTTATTAAAAATTCAGTTATGCTTATGTGAAATGCTTATTTTGGCCTGGAGTTGTACGGTACAAGGAGCAAAATCAATGTGGTTCATTTCAATCCTAATTGCCTTTGTTTACTTTCAGGTATCAATGGCCATGAGAACTATTGGGACTGTTGGAGTTCAAATTGCTTGGTAGGCTGATTTGTCATTAGTGATTTTAATCATCAGTTATCTGTTGTATGCATGAAGTATTAAAGATAAAGAATTCCTGTTTCCAGTAAGTTGTGTCATTAGTAATTTTTAATCACCAGTTATTTGTTGTGTGCATGAGTATTAAAGATAAAGAATTCTTGTTGCTAGTAAGTTTTATTTCTAATTGAAGTATTATTTTGAATCAGTTACAATGATTTAGGGGTAAACAGTCTTTGACGAAGTATTGATCAAAAAGTCTATTTGCAACCTATTACTTCTTTATATTCTCCTGAATACACAAGTATTTAGTAATGCGACTGGCTCTATGTGAGCATGCAAGTATTGATTTCGACCAAATTACTAAAAACTGGCACATCTTCTGTAAGGTTAACCAAGAGTAAATAAGATGATAAGGTGACAACTTCTTAATGTGTGTAAAATTCTTGAGTCATTTGTTGAGAAAAAGTTGGAAATGAAGATTAGCGAAGAACTCGACGCAAATATCTCAAGTTCAATCAGATATCTTTTTTCTTTCTTTTTTTGATAAGTAAGTTTAAATCACATATCTAGGTTAAGGTAAGCTGAGACCATAGAGTTCAATTATGACCTAGGTATGACTTTTATAAGGCTCAAAATATTGTTTTAATTAAGTTTTTAAAAAATTTGGAGTTTGATTAAATGATTTAATTAAAAAATTCAAAACAGTGATTGTTGATGAAATTTTATGAGAATTTTTTATTAAAATTCCTTAAGCTTTGATCAGAAGCTCAATCTATCAAAGCAGTGACAGTGGTGCTCAATCGAAGTGTGGTCAATAGAACACTTACACTTGTTTTTAAAAACTTTCTCAAATAAAAAATTTAAAAGGATTTATTTCCTATTTCACATTGGACTCCTATATTTGCTACAAGGAGTGGCTTATATTCAGTCTTGGTCATCTATTAATCTATACTTTCAACTCTATACATATTATTGAGAGAATTTATATTTCTACAGAGAGAAAGCTTTGAGAATCATTCTAGATTTAAGAAGAACTTGTGACTTTGAAAGATAGAAGGGCCGCTTTCAAAGGTTTCATAATGTTAACAAACCATCCACTCTAAAAGCTTTTAGAGAGGGTGTAACTTTAATATCTAAATCCTTCAACATGCCCCCTCACCTGTGGCCTTCTTTTTGGTTCAAAACATGTTTCAATGTTTAATTATCAGGGTTACAGTGACATTTGAACTCGAGACATTTGGCTCTGATACCATGTTGAAATATATAATAATTGAAGGGAGAACTTAAACATGAACAACACATACGCGGTTCAGTCACTAGGGCTTACATCCACGCACACAAAGCCCAAAGGGCTACATATCTTTTACTATCATCTCTCTTAATTTTTGTATACAATGAAAGTAAGCAGCACCATCTACAAGTTTAAGCTGTGTGGTTTGATTGGATCAAGCCCAACCAAAACTAACTCCATACCCACTACAATCACTCCTATAATAATATTCTCCAACTTGGAGAAATAGAAATTTCATCTTGCTGAATGTTAATTTGTGTTATATAAGGTGGATTGATGTTGTACCTACTGCCTGGGGATGGCAACCGGGTGGGTTTGGATGGCAATGGGGCAGAGCTGCCCTTTCTCATCCCCGTTTAACAACGCGCCCAAAACTGCTTATCAAAAGACCACTGTACCTGTTCCCACCAGCCCCGCCCCGGCCCGCCCCGTTCCGTTTAACAATTTATTTATTTATTTTTCCTTTCTAAAACAATAAAACGATAGGAAGGATATAAGTTTATGAAATGGTTAAGAGATAAGATATTAAGGTTTTGGTGTTTTAGTTTATGAAAGGGTATTTTAGTATCTTTAGTATTATATGGGGGTATTTAAGTAATTATGCAATATAAACGGCGTGGGGCAGTGGTACCTATCCCTGTCCCCACCCACTTCTGCGTGGATTTTTATTCCCTCACTCCCTCCCTGCCCCATCCTCTATTAAACCATCCCAAATCCGCCCCAATAGGGGTGGGTACCCGCCACTTGTGCCACAATATATGGAATTATTATGCGTCCTATCTGTTCTTCAGTCTTCCTATTTTGACAACTGATATGAGATTTTGCTAGCTACGCATTTAAGACTAACAGTATCGTTTCATCAAACATCATTTAGTCCTTATAACTTCAACAAACACTTCTCTGATACTACATATTTATTGTTACATATTAATTCTTTGGCTACCCTTTTTACCTTACGGCTTGTAACTTTAACAAACACTTCTCTGGAACATGTTGTATACCAAAAAAAAGTTTTTTACCACAATCATATGGAAGTGTTGTGTTATGAACTTATGACTTATGACAGTGTATCGGTTTCTTCTACTTTCCAAGGATTATGTATTACGATAAGTGATACGGGATTCTACTAGTTTCTTATAAGATAACAAGAGAGACATTATTTAGGAATTAACTAAACATTTTACAACAGAGTAACACCAAAAGAAAATAGTGGAGGAGATCAACTACTCTATCTAATCACGCACAATAAAAATAATGTAACTTGATAAACTCATCTTTTCTCACAAGCCTCAACTAATGGTCTAGGTACATACTTATAGCTCCCAAACTTGTTAGAAAATGATTATGGAATACTAAATTTCTTTACCACATAAAACCCGAAAAGATAGGAACATGAGGCAATTTCTACATTATACCTTGGATCAAAGTTTTGTGAAGCCAACCTTCCTCGATTATATGAGCATTCAATTCCTTTCAGTCTTTGTCGTTTAAAAATTCTCTCCACACCTTGTAGTCACTGTGATCAGATAGTTCATAAGACAAATCAGTTGATTTTTTTAATTTTTATTTTCCCTCACTCCAACTGCAGTATAGATCTTTGTTGCATCCAGCTTGATTTTTCTTTTGGTTCCTCTAGCCTTCCTCTTCCCCCCTCCCAAAACCATATGTCATGACAACTCTACCTTTAAGATCTGGTTTGCAATTATCTCTTGCATGACAATGTTCCGGTCACATATCATTTTCTAAATACTGTGACAAGATATTTACTGGATCAGGATCCTCTCCTGTTCCTCTTTTTGTCTTGTGTCGTCTTGTGCGTAAAATCAAAATTGCAACAACTCTAAATTGACAACGCAACAACTTTAAATCGACAACACAACAAGCCAACAACTACGTAAAGGTGTTGAGCTCTCAATTTAATGGTGTTGCAGCATTGCAACAAGATGTAATATGTTGCATGGGTGTTGCATCTTTGATGTAAATGTGTTGTATGAGTGTTGCATCGTTGTTGCATGGGTGTTGCATATGTGATGTAGCGTGTTGCAGTGTTGATTTAATAGTGTACAGGATGGGCACAGGATGAGTAAGAAACGGGAGAGAGCATTCGGATCCATATATAATAGATCCAAACAAATACCGCGTCTTTAGTAAAAAATTATTTTGATAAAATATGTCAATTCTTTGGGCTCTATCTTGATAAAACTAAAACATTATAAGATCGAGTATTTATTTCTAATGTTCAACATGATCAGAAGATCAAGCCTTGTGCTCTGATATTCAACATGACTCCAGGACTGACCTTAGCTCTGATATGCCCCGCAAATTCATGAACAGTTGCATGGACTGATCCGTCAGCTCTGGTAACTTTGTGAAACTTTGAACACCTGAAGACTGAATAATTGGTCCTGGTACAACAAATACAGTAACCAAATATTTTATAGCAGAATAATGCCAATATTGGACGAGAGCAACTGCATGAATTTGGATTGAAATTACACTGCAGATAACTAATTTAGTATGGTTTGCTAAAATTATGAATGAGGAGATGATTTAGGATTACTATAGTGAAATCTCGAAGCGCATAATCTCTTATACAAACCCTGTAAAACTCTCACAAACTCGTCATTTTTTAAGTGTCAACCAATAATATAGGTACATATCTGTAAAGTTCTAATCAATTCCTTGTTGGACAAGGATTACAAATAATAAAAGTTCTTTAACCATTAGAAACTTAATAATATAGGAATTTGGGACGACCCCAAGGGCCATTGCTTGGTGGAATGCTTTGTCATTTGATTTCTCCTGTTTTGCTTTGTTCAATTCCTATAAATTTAATTAGATAGATCTATTATGTATTAAATCCTTTTAGTCCGTGCCATTTACCTATTCACATGCCATTGCAACTTTGTTATTATTGTTTGCCCAGCATAATGAACAAATGGGGTTTACCACCCTTCTGCACATTCACATTAGGGATAATAGAATTTTCTTAGCAACCCATTCTTCCTATTTAAGTTACCTGCATTTTAATTTATGTTTACCTTTATAGTTTTATGTACTTTGTTTCTCATCTAACACAAGTCCTGTTCTTTTGTTGCAGCTGGTCATATATTTTCATACATTATGCCCTTCTTGTTGCCTATGTGGCTCGTTCTTCTGATATTTTGACAAATTTCCTCGGCATTCCATTGTAAGGACTATAAATCTAGCTTTCCTGTTGCAATATTGGGATGATTTAATTGTTTTTCTTCTTGATGTAGTTATCATATTCTATTATTGAAACTCGTGTGGTTAGATACTATTACACAGTTATCACTTATTGACAGTACAATTTTTTTTTAAGATGATGACTTTTGTAAAGGAATAAATGCTACATGTAAATTATCTCAAAATTTTCATGCATTTCAGAGTTAAAATATGCAAAATTTAAGTTTGAACTTCGTTGATGTGCCCTGGCCATAAATTTCTCTTTATTGTCTGCTTTGATGTTTGTTCTGTTTCACTCATAACTTATGTGATCTTTGAACCTTCCTTGCAAAATATTAAATGGCTAGGACACTATGGAACTCCATTATTTTTTTGAACTTCAGAAATATTCCAATGGAATAGTAATTATCCTAAATATTAATTAATATTTCATGTAAACGAATCATTGAAGTGCATTTGGTTAATGGGAAGAATTACAGACTACCAGTATCTGAATCCTTCTCATGCTGTTAACCTTCTTGTGTTCCAAAATCTTATTATGGTACTATACTTGCACTAATCTCCAATAACTTATTTTTACTATTGGGTGAGGAAAGCAGATTTATGTTGGAACTAGTTGCTTGGTGTAATTATAAAAGATCAAGCATGACCAGGAAAAGTTCAGCACCAATTAAATATTGTATATACCTTTTGTCATCATTTATGTTCTCATAATGCATCACTTTCATTTTAAAGAATTTTATTACTTCCCTAACATTATCAATGTTTCCATTGAAATGTTTAGATATCTCCAGATTAATCTTATTTCTTTATCAACTTTCAAAAATTATTTTTGGTTTTGCTTTCCCCTACATGCTATAGCTGACTGGATTCAATCTTCTTATTGTCTAATATACAGTATGCATATAGGTTTTCACTACATACGGTATCTTATCTCTGTCTGATTGCCTAAATGTAGCACAGACATAATCTCTTTGGGGCTTTAGTTTCATGAATGACACTTCTGTGGATTATATCACAAGTACTTTAATGTGTTGGTTAGGTGTTGATGGGCGGCATTATGATTGCAGATGGGAAAGTGCAACTTTATTTTCATTGCTTTTCGGAGGCATTTGCTACTTTGGAAGGTTGGTGTTTGTTTTTTTAACTTGTACACTGTTGTAAGCTTCAATCACATACATGCAGCAACAACAATTACAACAACCAAGCCTTTTTCCGCTCTCTTCAATCACTTACATGTTCGGTTAATAAAATTAGCCTTTTACTATGAATAAGAATGGAAATATTTTGTCTTTAGAGATTGCTGTAGCAAAGGAGTCTGGTTTGACTTGTTAGTTAAATGGGATGTACTTATGTGGCTAATTTTTGGGGTAGGAAAAATAGGATAATTGCCTCTCAACTCAAAGTTATTGATAGAGAGACAAAGCTATTTTCTGGATATTTTCTGACATGTTTGGACAAGATTATTGCCATATTGAGAAGTGTCAACTTGATAATTGTCTGCTTTGATTTGAAATTCCTTGCTTTTAAAATTTTTCGGGACCAATTCATCAATTTCTCTATAATATTTAAATAGAAGTCCCATATGTCCATTCTGTGGGTTCTATAGCTTGTCTTGAAGTAGAATTTTTGGCATGCATTTAAAAACTCAGTTGCACCCATCTCTACTATATGAAAATAGAGATGACATATCTAATACTTCATTGATGTTTTTTTGTTTTTTTTCTTGTTTCTTTATATTAGTTACTTTACAAATTCGAATTTTTAAATCTCATACAGGAAGAATTGCTTTAAGTGACTCCAAATTTATCTTTTAATTGTAGCCAACGGCTTATTGGAGCAGTAAATGGAGCCCTAGTAGTGGGAATCATCATTTCTTTTACAGCTCTTGTGGTAATTCTCAATGTTTATGAACTAGACAATGATTTTTATAACCTATTAATTTTAAATTTTTAATAGTAGCAATTTTTTTCACTAATGACTAGAATTTCTTTTACTCATTTAATTGATGGTAAGATAATTTGCTAATTCCTTCCTTTGAATTAAGCTATTATAAAAGAAAAATGTCTTTAACCTAGTACAATTGGACAAATTCACTCCAAAATTTAGATAAGGCTGCAGTGAATCGAACATGATTTTATTGTAGAATCTTCATTCATCATTTAATATAATACACTAATAGATAATATTAAAGAACAATAGAATAAAACTAAATGAAATTACCTAGCCCAAAAAAATATGAATAAAGTGAAATGATAATGAAAAGAGGATGAAATTTGAAAATTGTAAATGCAGCTGATGCCTTCATCCTATGGCTTACTTTTCTTTTGTATTTTCCTTCTTTAGCTGCCAGTGGGCAACTTTAGCTACGCCATGTGTTAACGGTTTGGATTAATGTGAAACAATTAGTTACATAGAATAATATATAAGATACGAAAATCATAACATATATATATATATATATATATATATATATATATATATATATATATATATATATATATATATATATATATTTGATAAGTAAAAATTATATAACATTTAATATTTTATATAAAGGAGTGACACTGGATTTCGTTGGTTCCTTCGATGTTTGTGAGGGTGGCTAATACTTGGATTAAAGCTAATTTTGGAGCAGAAAATAAAGTAAGATAGTATTCTCTGTCATGCTAAAGTCATTTGATTGTCCTATGTTGATTTAGTTTATTAAATACTGAATCAGTTAAATCTTATTCCTGTTGTTGTAAGGGGTCGAATTTCAGATGATGAAACTTAAATCAAGAAAGAACACCAGCATTGTTGTGCCATTAAACATTTTTTTATTTTTCTTTTCAGTTTTTCCTTTTGACTTACATTTCAGCTTTTATTCACGTAACACTTAAAAATCCACGTTAGCAAGTCTGATCTTGTCCGGATTACAATAAATGCTTTTCTATAGGTAGTTGCAAGCGGAGACTTGCATTGGGATGCTCTTCTAAAAGCCAATTTTGAAGCTGTTCCTTCAAGTATACCCATAATAGCACTTTCCTTTGTTTATCAGGTAATCTCAACCACCTTCTGTAATTCAACATTTAAGCAGTTGTAACATTTTAAAACTTTTTTTTTTTTTTTTCCTTTCACTAAATTATGGAACAAATGGTTTGTTTCAGAATGTAGTGCCTGTTCTTTGCACAAATCTTGAAGGAAACCTTTCAAAAGTAAGGTGACAAATCTTATTATCATGCTTTTTCTTGGTTTAAAGTGTGTATTGTTTAGAGGGAATATTTTCTGATACGTGCATTTATCATAAATTCGGCATTTAACTTTGGAAAATTGGAAATTCTTCTCCATTATCAAGATTAGAGAATGACACTGGAACTAATTAAAGACTCTGACAAAACTACAGAACAGTCACCTGATGGTTTTATCTTCACTAAACGGTGGATTTAGGAAATTCCAATGGATTAAAATTGAGATTATTGACAGAAGTTTTCTGATTTATTGACAAGTCTGTATGCTCAGGTAGCTTGTCTCATCAAATAGGTATGAAGAAAAAGAAAAGAAAAGTACTAGGATGCACCAGACAGATGTTGGAATACAATCGCAGATACTTTGATACCTACAATTCGGTTTCAAGTTTACGGAGTAATGTATTCCTAAGAAAAAGTAATTTGATCTCTCATAGACTTGGATCATCATTCTTCCATCACCATTGCAGGGATCAAAATAGACTTAGTGTTGGATTGTACAGAGTCCATTTTTGCACCACTAGGAAATGTCCCCATTGACCACACGGGGCTTTCTGGTGATGTACAACAAATCTCATTTAATTTATCGATATATGATCTTATTTTACAAAATTTAGTGTGTGGTTCAAGACCTGAAGTGCCTCAAAGGCAAAAATGTGGAAAGAAGTGACAAGTTTGGTGTGAAAATGTGGAAAAAGTAATTTGTGATCTCTCATCGACTTGGATCATCATTCCTCTATCACCATTGCAGGGGTCAAAATAGACTTAGTGTTGGATTGCACGAAGTCCATTTTTGCGCCACTAGGAAATGTCCCCATTGACCACACGGGGCTTTCTGGTGATGTCAACACATCTCATTTAATTTATCGATATATGATCTTATTTTACAAAGTTTAGTGTGTGGTTCAAGACCTGAAGTGCCTCAAAGGCAAAAATGTGGAAAGAAGTGACAAGTTTGATTTGTTATATGTTCAGGAAGGATACTACATGGTTTGAAATAGAACTAAAGGGCCCCAAAAAAGAAAAATGTGATTTGACTGCATTATTTTGCTTGATAATTATCAGCTAAGTTGCTAGCAAGCTGAACGTTCTTCCCTTGACTCCTAAATTTAGTTCTTAGAATATCATTTGTGGAGTGAGGTATCATACTGTCTTCCCCATAAGCAAAACCCAACGTAAAACCATTAAAAAGGTTGATGAACATCTACATGTGTACCTTGGGACTTATTTTTCTGATTACCAGCATTTGTACTACTTGATTCGTCGAAACATCAATACATATTGCCATGTAATGAATTTTTGAACAACCTGTAACCCTTCGGCACAGTTTGTAGTGCCTTTATAATAGATGTCATACACTTTAGTTCTCTACGGAAGAGGTTGCAATCTAAGCCTCAAACAGCCCCTGTACATTTATCATTAGAAAGACTGGCACAGGTAGCTTTCTACCACCATGAGTTTGACATTTGGTTTCTTGATGAACTCATCTATTGAACCAATGAGAGGATGTTGCCAAGATGTTATTTTTGCCGATTTGATAGTTTCCTGTTCAGAATTCAATAAATATTGATATCATTAGCTCTATAATCTGCAGGACTGCAATTGTTCTGGGCACAGCTATTCCCCTTGTTCTGTTCCTTGTCTGGGATGCTGTTATTCTCGGATCAATCACAATTTTTGAAACAGGCTCAGATAAGATTGCTGACCCATTGGAACAGTTGCGATCTAGCAATGGACTTGTCGGGGTAAGCAATCATTGACATCAATTTAATTTTTGGTTAGTCAATTCTGGAAGTATAGGTAAATATTGGAATTTGCAAGTGGCAAACAACAAATCATGTCTCTTTTGTTATAAAAATGATATCTTGCAGCCAATAGTTGAGGTGTTCTCACTTTTTGCAATTGCAACTTCTTATATTGGATTCGTTTTGGGCCTTTGCGACTTCCTTGCTGACTGTGAGTGTTTCTGTCTTGATTTATTTCAAAATTACATTATTTCAATAGTTTCTATTATATCTTTATTGGGTAAATAGTCTCATGTCCGATGACGATTAATTCTCCGCGGCTGATGTTGTGTGCATCTGGGCACACATGGATTTTGAGAAGTCGTAGCTTTAAGTTTACATGCGCACAGCAAACATGTAGCCTTAGCCTAAACTTTTTTTGGATTTGCATTCCTGGTGTACCCTATAGTAGTTGCTTTTCTAATTAAATAGCTTTCGAGTTTTTGTGTATCTTTAGCTATGTATATATTTTTTCCCGGTAAATGTATCTTTAGCCATGGTGTAAGCGAATACACCTTTAGAAGTGGACCATTTTGATAGTTTCCAAGTTGTCAGCCATTTGGTGGAGCATCTCATGTCCAAAGTCTCTGATGTATGCATTCTCCATTTTCGGATCTCGCAAAGAGAGAACGTGTATATCCTCTTGAGTTTCTATCATTCATGGAGTGAAGAAAGCGGTTATTGATTTTTATCATAGTCACTATTAGTCTAATTTCATTGTTTTGAAGCCATATGCATGTTTCATTCAAGAGAGATGTTTTCATATCACTTTTTTCATAACTTGCAGTGCTGAAACTCCCATCTGGCCAGAGCAGGCCTCTGCCATACCTACTTACATTGATTCCACCACTGGTATTATCATTGCTAGACCCAGAAATCTTTTTCAAAGCATTGGATTTTGCCGGAACATATGGAGGTACGAGACTAAGTTCCCAGTAAATGTGATAATCTACCATTTTCTCAGATTAATGGTTTAGATTTAAAGAAATTTGAACCATTTTAAAAGTTTCTCACGAGTGGAACTGCACGAGATAGATGAGTGAAATGTATTTCAATCAGCTGCAATATCACGCTCTGTTTTATGCTTTTTCTAGTGTTGGTGCTCTTTGGAATTCTTCCTGCTGCAATGTCTTGGTCAGATAGAAACTCGCGTTCATCCGAGTCTCCAGCGCTACCCTTGCTGGTTCCTGGCGGAAAGCTCACCCTTTCTCTTGTGATTGGAGGCTCCGGATGGGTCATTCTCTCGGAATTACTTGAGAATTTTGGGCGCTCGTAGAGATCAGGATTGAAGGTATATCTGTTGGCTAGAGTTGCCAGGATCCAAACAATGCTCCACCATAAAATTGGTTGTCTATAAATTATTTTTTCTTTATCATTTTGTATTTATTGTGAGTGAGTCTAGTCCTCCAACTGAACCTTCAAACTAGTATATTCAGTTACCACCAAATCTTTAACTTTGCAATCTGCCTTTTATTGCATGCCAAAGAATACAATGCCTTGGAAATTACCATTCAACTTGGAAATTACTATTCAACTTTCAACCTATCAACTAAGGGACCTAATCTGATGAAGTTAACTAGTTTTTTTTTTTTTATTTTTTTATTTTTTTTTTTTATTTAAAATTATTATTATTATACCTATTAATCTCTCTCTCTCTCTCCAAAGGGCAGAATCTTAAAATATCTTACGAAAGTTATTAGGAAAGTATACATTAATATTCAAACAATAATGCCAAGGGTATTTCTTCCTCTTCTGAAATATAAAAGTGATCACAGTTGTCCAAATCAATATAGCATGCGTGCTACACTACAGAGAAATTGAGCTCATATATATTTATCAGGGACGGAATCAGAATTTTTTTCTAGGGTTATGGGATGAGGTGAATTAATAAATTACATATATAGAACATAATAAAATAATTTAACAAAAAAATAATAATTAAGGAAACTTATATATGGTATACAAGGGAAGGAGAAATTTCAAGAGGGGGGAGATTTTACACATTTCCAAAAAATATATACAGAAATATATATATATATTCATAAATAAAAATTATATATATTCATAAATAAAATTTTATATATATATATCACCAGGCGTGCCCCCTGAATTTTTTGCTACCCTTATTTTATATATATATATATATAAAATAAGGGTAGCAAAAAATTCAGGGGGCACGCCTGGTGATATATATATATAAAATTTTATTTATGAATATATATAATTTTTATTTATGAATATATATATATATTCATAAATACAAATTTTTTGAATGACATATGCAATGATTTAAAAGATTCTGGTATGGGGCTCCATGTACACAACAGCAGTGGTTTAAGTTCTACTGCCTTATAATGGAGATGGAACTGTCAAGTGGAGACCACTTCTCCATTATCCATTAAATGATTGATGAAGGAATTCCACCTACATAGTGTGCTATGCATTACCAAGAATATGCCCCTTTACACAACATAATGAAAGTGAAACACTAACAAAAACTAACTTTTTATATAAATTTAGACTAGTCGTCATTATTTTTGCCTTAATTTCATGCGAATTGAATAAATTCGATTACACGATTATTATTATTATTATTTTTCTATTACAAGTATCTCTTCCGTAATATTTAACTTTTAAAAATAATCTTAAATGATTTCATTCTATGTTAACTTCACTCTCTTTGCCTACTATCTTCTATGCAACTTATTAGTCTCCCTCTTCTTACTGGAGTCTATAAATCTTCTTTGAAAATACTCATACCATCTAAGTTTATTTTCTCCTATCTTGTCACTAATAGGTATCACTCTTATACACCTCAATATCTTAATTTTCATTATCGTGTTTTTGATTTAAAGCCCAACACTCTGAACCATATAAAATAATTGGTCTAATAACCGTACGATAAAAAAATTTCTTTAATTTATTTGTTATTCTTTTATCGCATAAAATCCCATTAGTTGTCAATTTTATCCAACTTGATCCAATTCTAACAATTACATCACCATCATTTTGACCCAATACTAATTTTTAGACAGTTTGCTTCTCACATTTCTCCACCTGTCTAATTTTATTGATTTTCTTGAATAATCATTATCATTTGGATAGGAAGTTGTTTACTTATTAAATGTCCACCAAAGTATATCTCTTGCATCCTAATTTATGCTTTTTCAAGGTCCATAAAATCCATATGTAAATATTTTTGCTTACTTCCTACCCTTTTCAACTAACTGTTGTCTTAAGTAAACAACATCCAATGTGGATCTTTTTGACATAAATTCAAATTGATGAAACATGGATGCTGGGTGCGACACGATGCGAATCGATGATACGAAATTTAAAAAAAAAAAATAAGATACAAGTACGACGTGGATACAAAAAAAAAAAAATTACTAATTTGAAATTTAGTTACTTTTTATTTTTGTTTTCTTAAATTTTATACATAGTATTATTTTTCTAATTAACCCATAATATATTTTATATTACATTGAATCCTATTTTTTTAAAAAAATATTTACAAAATTACTCCTTCGCATCCTAAAAGCGTCTAAAATGTATCTTTATCATGTCCAACCAAAAAATAAAATATTTATTATTCAAGATACATTCAACGGTATTTGACACATATTCAAATTGTATCCACATATTAAAAAAGTGTTCAAATATCCAATAACACGAATCTTAATAGAAGTATATGTTATCAAGCACCGTGACTTCCTTCTTTACTCCCTGCTCTATCACTCCTTTCAATGCTTCTATTGTTAAATTATTCAGTTTTATTCTTTATTTATATATTTAAGTGCGTCATCTACTTCCTTATTATTTACTATATTTACTATTTCTATATTAAATTCATAGCTTTTCACTTCTTCTCTAGAGTATTTCTCAATAAGTTATAGAATTAGAATGTTCTTAACTAAATATTTTATTGTCCACATGCTTAATACATCTATCCACTTTGATCCATTTCTCTAGTTATATTTTATATCTATTATTTGTTTATTTATAGTTTAATTTTGCATATAAATCATTTTTGTTTAGCTTACTTATTAACCTCTTTAGTTTTATTTTCTAATCTCTCGTATTTATCTAAATCCTCTTTTTGGTTACTTTTTTGCTACTCTTTAAAACTTTTTCTTTATATATATATTTATACTATTTGTTGTATTTCATCATTCCACCACCGTGTTCTTTTCTTGATGAATTTCTTCTTTTTAGTCTCCCCATAATTTGCCATTTCTATCAAGTTTTTATTTTAATTTTTATAGTATCATTCCAATTCTATTGTTTTTCTTTTGATATTTGTTCCCAAAATATTAGATCTTTGTTACCCTAGTTCTTTCCATTTTTATGTTTTGATGATCGTTTCTCGCTATTTTTTTTTTTTTTTTCACATTTAAATTCTTTAATTAAAAAGTCTAAAATTTGTAGCCCATATTAGTTTTTGCGGCTTTTGCAAGGAATTACCCTACGATCCTTGCAAGTGACCAACTCACTTCTTTTATATAGTCAATCTGTGTTTTTCCAATTCTCAATATTAAATGTTCTTATCTTTTTCTAAAAGATGTAGTATTTGCTATGACTAAAGTTATATGCATTTACATATACTTTTATATAAAAATTTACATATTTGTTTGAATGTAAAATCTTTTTTTTCTTTTCCATTGCAGCAGTGGGTGAAAAGTAGTGGACATGCTTTTGGACTTCAATCATTGCACCAAAAAATCCAGTCTGCAGTAGTGGTTAAAAGCTAGTGGAAATGCTTAGGGCACATCATGCCAATGGACCACCATCTTCCAGAAACTTAAGGTAATCTTATGCAAACCATTGATGGTTCAGTTCATCCAAGCTTTCAGAGCTAAGAACTGCCATCAACACTATCAAAAATACATTCCAATCTTCACATTTATCCAAGTATTCCTTCCTATAAACCTCTACTAAATTTTGAAAATTGTCTCCATTCACTCTCAATTTGGCTCACCTGACCAGATAGTCTACAACCCCTAATTTTGCTCTTCAATCTACGGAAATACTTGCAAGTAAACAGCCATCAACGTCTTCAAAAACACATTCGCGGCCTCTTTCAATAACTCATATTCTAAATGAATGTGTCAATCCAGTACCAGCAAGGTTTTTCATAATATAGAAAGTTACAGTAACGCGAGCGAGGATGGTGACATAGTTTGTCAAACAAACTAGAAAAAATACAGGATGGTAACAATTAATATACAAGTAAATTGACTAAATTCCATGCAGCTATTCTATGGAATCGAGGAACAAAGCAAACGCAGTTTGAAACACAGCATTATCATTCACAAAAATAAAGATGGAAAACATCTAATGACCTCTGTGTACATTTTAACAGCAGACTGAAGTCCACTATAAACCAGTTTCTGAGACCATTTTCACCCAACACCAAGCATATTTAACAAGTTTAACTGGACATCATGTATTAATTATAAAGGCACACAACAAAGAGAAGAAGGCAAAGACTGTAAGTAAAAACAACCTTAATAATTGGAGGGGCATCCAGAATAATTCGTCCCATTATTCCTTCATCTCTTGAACTTTTCCTCCTGTTTCAGCACAATGACTGTGTGTGTTTTGGCTTCATGAGCGAAAAGGCCACAAAAATGATAATGGGTTTCTCCTCCCCTGATTCGGCCCGCTATTGTCCCTGCCACTGATATCACTACCATTGCTGCTGCTGCTGCTGCTTCCGTTCCCACCACTTGCCCTTCTATTGCCACGAGCAGTACCTTGTGAGGGCAGCTCGACGCGGCAAACAGGGCAGGAGTTATGCTGAACCAACCAAGGAACTATGCAGTCAGAATGATACAGATGATTACATGCCATTAGCCTTGCTTCAGAGCCCAACTCAAATTTATCCTTACAAACTGGGCAGTGGGAATCAGTGTTCAGATGCCTCTGTGTGATCTTAATAGTAGGCATAGCATCAATTAAAGAACGAGGTGCAGGGGGTGGACCCTGCCTGCCATTCATTGTAAGCTGTTCAATAAATTCTTCCAGTCCTGGACCGGTAAAAAGTTCACCAATGTCAGGTCGACGCTGGCCCATTCCCGGATTGCCACTAAAGAAGAGTTCAAATGCATCATTATCGGGCATCCTGCCGGGGGTTCCATGGATCAACAACCACGGACCAGAACCCAAAGCCATACTTGGTTCAGGACCTAGACCAGATCTAGCTCTGATGTCGTAGTTTGGGTTTCTTCCTGCCATTCTCTGCCTCATAAAAGCCATCAAAGCATCCACAATTCCAAACCTTGGGTCAAAGGTAGGATCCATGAGTCGAAAGTCAGAACCATCTTCCGAACGATATCCAAGAAAATCCTGTTGTCCAGAGTCCAACACCTCAACGAGTTCTTGCACAAAGCCTCCATTGCAATGTGGACAATCCAAGTTCCTGCCTCGAAGCCTCACTGCCTGCCTGCACTGGTGGCACCAATGTGTGTTTCTACCACTTGACATCCTCACTTTCCAATAGATTTCTTCAACCAAACCCTAAAACCTGCAGTCAAACACCAGATTTATTCTGTATCCAAGGCTCAGAGTTCAAAGCATCAAATGGAAAAAAATCAAAGCTATAGAAACCAAAACACGAGAGCGACCCACTTAAAGCTAAGTTTATGCTACTGCCTAAGAGGACTGCTCAATTTTATGCCAACAGAAAATTAAATCATAGTTGAGTCTTCAGATCTCAAAACAAAACCCTACTTAGAATCATACACAGTAATTATTTATTCAACTTGTAATATAGAAAGAAAATGAAAGGGGTTCAAACATGCAACTACCTGATGCATAAACCTTTCAATGCCTAAACACACAGAAATTGAAATGATTAACATAATGCAACATTTAACAGATGTCAAACAATGGTTACAACCATGACATTGAATTGTCCCATAAATGGGGTCCCAAACATCTCTTTTAGTTCTACAATGGTGAACTCAAATGCTCAATACCCATTATTAAGATAATGAAGTTTTGAAATCGACAAAAAATAAAACATAAAATCAAAATACGCAATAAAAGATGCTCAGGAAAAGACACCACACATTTGAAAGAAGTTGTACAAACTGTTCTATGGCAAATGGTCGAGACCGTTGAGTACAAAACCCAAATATTCAATTCCTATAATTCTTCTCACCTCAGAAAATAATCAAACAATTAAGGGTCTCTCTATATACAACGTTAGAACAAATTCCATGTCAGCAACAATAACTAACCCTTTCCCCAATTACTTGGGAACATGAATCCTATGTTTCCATTCCGTTCTATTTAAAGGTCATAACCTCAGTCAATCCACATACTATCACATATTTCTTTACTAAATCTACCCATCCCATTTAGATAATAAAAAAAATAAAATAAAATGATAATAGGGGCCAAAACAATATTAAAAAAAAAAAAAATTCCAAAATGTAAATAAAAATAAATAAAGAAAAGGAGGAAAACAAGTAAACAAAGGGTATGAAAGAGGCCAGATTGTTTAGATTTCAAATTAAAACATATGCAGAAAATATAAATCTACTACATGTATTTATATAATCCAAAGCAAATTATGCATACATACACGCGTAGCAAGCATAGATACATATATGCATACATAATTTATAAATTAAATCCAAAGCATAAGCCAATCAAAACAATTTCTCAGAATATCATGACAAGGAATCCAAATTCAAATAGCTCAAATCGACCACAATTGCATAAAATTATCAAAATTGAGCACACAAATGGAATGATATGAACGTTAATGGGGCTTTAATCGAAGGAATGAGAACAAAAATTGCAAAACATACCAGATGGCGCTCAGTAACGTAGTGTTTGGGACTGTAGAAACCCTAGATATATATGTATAGAGAGAGAGATAGAGAGACCAGTGAGTCGTCGGAGACTGGAGGTCGACTATGTAGACTTTTGATAAAATGCAATCTAGAAATTGCGATGAGTTTCAAGTCTCTCCTAAAATACGCGTGGTGCGTAATGAGCCGGTGGGCCTCACAGCTAAGTGTGTGTTTGGATGCTAGTCACAATAATAACTCCTAATTTTTTTTTTCCTTTTTTTATCCTTCAAAACTCCTACTCGTAAATAATTGTAATACTATAAATCAAGAAATAGGGAATTAAGGAGGGAAAAAAAAATGTAAATTGCTTTGATATTTAATTATTTATTGAGGTTTGGCAAAATTACACAGTTTTTCTTATAATTATAAAAATAAATAGGATTTTGTCCGAGATTTATTAGTGTACTAGTGTACGGTGGGTATCATCACACTACCCGGTGAAGTAATCTCGACGGTTTATTTATACACTAAAAAAATTTAGTGTAGAGTTGATCCATGCCTTTTAAAAATTGAATATTGATATTAAAATCGAATGGGCTCTAATAAATGGGAGCCGAACAACTTCTTATGTGAGTTTCGTAACTAATGAAAAATTAAAGAGTTCCCCCACTAGATGGGTGATGTGGGTGTCGGATCCATATCATTTATCAATAGTGAGGAGTTGTACGACACTCCATTCGTATCTGTTTCTTAATTATATTTTTAAAAAATTACGTTGACATCTTCTGAAAACAAAAACATATATTTTCCTGGATAGTAATAGTTAACATTGGTCAAAGACAAAAATGATAGTGGTCAAAGACAAAAATGACTGTGTTTTTGTGCTGAAAATTGCGTAAATTAAAAATATATATATTCTCATCATTTTTAAGTCCCATGTCGATGATCATGAGGACTTTTTTGGTTCGGTCAACTAAAAATAAAAATAAAAATACTTGTGAAGCAATTGTGAGGACACTTTCATCATGACCCAAGACTTTCAAGTCTCAGCCATTGGATCAAAATTGTATCACGATGTCCTAAACTTCCGCAATTGTTTCATGAACGTGGAGCCTTAGTTTGATTTTCACCTTCATTCATTTGATTCATTTTCACTAGTTCAATAGTTTTTAGAAATACTTATTAAATGTCCCAATTTATATTTATTTTTGTTTTACCTTTATTAAATGTCCCAAATTGGAAATTCTATGGAATGTCAGATGCCATGTCTAGGTTTACTTGGTTGTTAATCTTGCAACAAGTTGGAGGTTATACAAATGGACCGTTCTTTTTTATTTTTTATTTTATTAGCATGGTTTAAATTCCATTATACAGAGACATATAATTTTGAATGTTTGTATGCAATACATATATATATATATATATATAGATTCACACCCTAAAATGGCAAAACTGCAAATTGAATTGTGTTCAAAAGCACCATTGTATAATTACTGCCGTGTGTGGAGAGATTACCATTATATATATAGATTCACGTGATATATATAAAATTCTTTTTAAAAAAGAAAAAGACTGTACGGTTGGGGTTTGGTGGCGTTTGTTTGACATCTAATTTCCCACATTCATTTCCTTGGTAGCTTCGAACAATTTTCCCAACAACTTCTAAGCAACCAATGTAAAATATGGCCAACTTTATTGCAATATGGAACACACAACGAGACTTTAACTACCCAGAGCAGACTTTTCAAGCAAGAACAGGGAGAGGAAAAGAATATATATATATATATATATCCACCCTTCAATCCTAAACTTCAAAAACTAGCCTCAGAAGTTCCAACAGCATCTGCTTTTAAGATTAGCAAAGGAAGAACATTCTCCGAGTGCCGTCTAAATTAGACTTCCAACACAGTTCCAAATTAGACTAGCAAATAGTAGAACTCTACATATACTGTTATTCTACAATTATGACTGATGATGAACAAAAAATAAAGGCATTTTGGGGCTCCTATGAATACCAAACCATCTATAGAATCTCTCACAGAACAAGTACCCTATTCTTGCAACGCATCGTGAAATACTCCAACATCTCTAGTTGTTGATGGATGGAAATAATTCTTCTTGCACTATAGCTTACGTTCCAATGCAGCGTGAACCACAAACCAATCCATCGAATGTTGTAGGTTGCACATTTTGGTCATTAATCAAGGCACGAATAGTTGAAAGAAAACTCTGTAAAATCATGTCACGAAAAAAGGGTTGGGGGAGAATACAAGCAACAATTCCATTAGCCCCTCAACTTGGGATCAGCATGAAGACAAGAATTTTTAATACAAGATAGTTCAATGTCCTTAGTTTACTCATGTCTCCTTCAACAGTACAGTCAAGATTGCTATACTTCCTATTCCCGAACATCAAAACCCAAATGTGTGACAAACAAGGTTTAAGAGTACACAACCTTTGAATTTCAAGACGGATGCAACATACTAATCGACAGCCATGGCTTCTGAAACCCCACTGGCATCCTCCATATTCTTATGGTCATCCAGTGCTATTCTCATCTCCTCTACCAAATTCCTTTGCTCCTCCTCTATGGTGTTCTGCAGCTCATCCACCTGAAGAGAAGTTCACACAATAAGTAAAAATGGCATCAATCATGGAAACCCAATCTGTAAGCAATTATATCATCGATGGAAAACCAATCGGATACATAATGCTTTTATATAGCAGTCAATGAGCCAATTCCCTCAGACGTTAAACGGTTAAAGAGAAAAGGAGTCATTAAAATAGCCAATTGTATCATATTGGTATAAGAAATTTGGGAGATGATGCTGGTTTACAGTTACTAATGATAATGACCACTGATTTTCTGTAACAGTTCCCACTGTTAATTTCCACTTTGTGAATAGAAAGAAAGTGACATTACTATATTGAATCAAGAAAATCATCCCTGTTTGGATGTCCAAATGTGCCCCAAGTATGAAATTCATAGCTACATGATATCAGTAATGGAAGGAAAAATGAAAGAAACGATATTTATTAAGGATATGAGTTAAAGTAACATGGACAAGAACCCGGGTCATTGCAAGAGACAACTAAATTCTACTAATAGTCCTTTTTCCGGATTCAACTTTATCAGAAAAGAAAAGGGTATAATAGGAAAAAGAAGAGCTTCATAAAAAGAAAAACCATGCATCTCTGCGTGTATAATAAGTAAAATAAAGGGCAAGCAGAAAAAGAAAGAACAAATGAATCACAAAAAGCTACAGATGAAGCTAATAGTAACTATAATCAGAGTGGAGTAACGCCAAACTATCTAGTTATGGTCAACTCATGCATCTTTTATCTGGTACTTCAAAGGCCCAAATTGTTTTTTCTTTTCAAGCCAAACGGACAAATGAGTGCCTCCAGCACTTCGTTGGGACTCCATGAGGCCCCGCACAATAAACAAAAACTCTGCTGAGCACAAGTTGTAGCAGCACAAATTGGATGGATTTGGGTGGGACACCCTTGACTCGACCCAGTCCTGTGAAAGGGCCAAGCTCATCTAAACCAGGCACAACACCAAGGCAAAGGGAATTGGGTTGGCTCCAAATTTTTCCGGGGACGTATGAGGTATATAATTACATTTTGGTGGGGAAGGTAATTGCAGAAAGAGAGAAAGAAGGTCCTCAACTATTATCTTTCTAAGGTCCACGAATCTACTTCTTCAACACACTCATCTCAATTTAAACATCAAGAGCTTTTACACACTCCTATGATGGAAGGTGAAGTGGTTGTAGCTTCAGCACACCGTGTAGAATCCAATGATTGCTTTTCACACTGTTGCCTTTTGTGGTTATTTTATCTTCAATAAAATAGTAAAAGGATTGAAGTCCAACTGTTTATTTAAGCCTCAAACCTAAAAGACATCTCTTTAGACTTTAGATTGAGGCATCTCTTGCTAATTGAGTTAAGCTAAACATCAGCAGAATTCATAAAGTCCTAAATATATTGGCATATTCAATAATAAGAAAAAGTAATAAACAGTAAAAGGATTGAAGTCCAACTGTTTATTTAAGCCTCAAACCTAAAAGACATCTATTTAGACTTTAAAGTGAGGCATCTCTTGCTAATTGAGTTAAGCTAAACATCAAGAATTCCTAAAGTCCTAAATATTTTGGCATATTCAATAATAAGAAAAATTAATAAATAACACTCCTCTGGGGGTAAAAAATTAAATTGGGGAAGAGTATGGATCAAAATGCATATATCCACATACCACATGCAACAAAAGAACAAATTGCTTCTTGCGAAGCTCTAATGTCCTTGAACCAGCTGTGTTCTCCGCCTCCAACATTGCTATCTCTTTCTCTAGTTCAGTTAAGATCTTCTGGGTCGCTGATCTTGGTGGCTGCATAGCAATTAACTTCCTGATTGCCTCACACTCCTCCTTGTGCTGCCTCTCAATCTTACTCTCCTCAAGTTGTTTCTTGAGATCTTCTATTTCAGCTTGTGCCAGTAAAATCTGCCTATTTATATCATCTTTTAACTCATTGAAATTCTCCTTCTCCCTGGTATTTGCATCTATAACCGCTTTGCTCTTGAGAAGTGGAAGCTCAAAAGTTGTCAACTCCTGTAAGAAGGCTTTGGCAAGTCTTTCGCATTCATTATAGTTATCTGCATCCTTCTCAACCTCAAGGGCAAAAGAGGTGAACTTCTTCTGAAGTTTTTTCAATGGAGGTTCACCCCTTGTGGTGGTTGTGCGGGTGAGAAGCCTATGTTTTATAATTGTATCATCTTCAAGAGGACCAAAAGCATAGTGTGCACCAATCGCATCTCCCCGACCAGCAATTTTCCTGCCTTTAACCAACATCTATGCAGCTGTTTGTTATTCAACTCCTGCAATGAGTCAATCTGTACATACATTAGCATATATGTCTAAATACAGAAATAAGCATAGTTGTCATGTATAAATGCATGCAGTCTTTTGGGTATTATCAATTTCATGTGCATTATTACAGTGTCGCCTTTGGAAGCATGGAATAGCAGCCTTCATATTGGAGGAAATTTGAATGTAATTTGGTTCGTGTGTTGCCTTGAATTGCAATTGCATTATTATTTACAATATAATTTGATAAAGATGATTTTTTAATGAATTTTAGTGAATTTTATTGAATTTTTTAAAGACCATTTAACATGAGTATAATTTATTTATAAATTGTAACTCATTGTATTTATTAAAAGATCTTAGTAAGTATATATTTTACTAAATCAATGAATACTAATAGATTTAAGAACGTAATAATAAATATTTATACCATATGTAACTTGTTAGAAGAAAAAAAAAAATTGTATACAATACAAGTCAAAGAAACCCTTTCATGCTTTTAACATTCTAAAACAAATATAATATTATACTTTATATTTATTTATTTATATATATTATAAAGGAGAATTGAATGAATTTTTAAATGTTGAATCTTCTAACCTTTAAAATTTAAAATATAGTACAAAAGAGAATTTGAAATTAGTGCGAGCGAATTATTAAAAAAAATAAATTAAGTGGAAGAATAAATTGAAAGAAAAACATAAATTAGTGGAGAATGAAGTATTTTTGTAATGTTGTAATTATAAACAGGTTGTGGGGGTAAGGTTAAAATTTTCATTCTTTACAAAGTAAAAACAAAAAGCGAAGTCCTTGCCCCCATTTCGAGAGACTTCTAAGAGTTTCCAACTCCCATGTGCCTGGCTTGGGATAAGGGATAAGGAAATCCTTAAGGCAAAAGAATTGCTGAAAAAAAAAAAAATAAATAAATAAAAAGGGTCCGAAGGGAATAGCTCCGGTGAAGAGACAATAGCATGAAAAAGGGTCTTCATATTTGCGTTTGGAAGCTGAAGCGGACATATATTACTTTTTCCCCTCCCTAAGTTCTTCTTCTCCACGAGTCTAGAATCTAAATATAAGAGATTTAAAGTATTTTGAGTTTTGGATCCAAGATCTGAGCTATCAGCGGACATATATTTACTTTTTCCCCTTTCTAAGTTCTTCTTCTCCACGAGTCTAGAATCTAAATATAAGAGATTTAAAGTATTTTGAGTTTTGGATGCAAGATCTGAGCTATCAAGACTCAAGTATTCTCAGTTGCCAGTAGCATTTTCTTCTTCTTCTTTTCTCTTTTTTTCCCCTCGTTGCCAGCAGCTTTAACCGGTTACCAGTTGACAGCTGGCTGGTTCAGGGGACGAACAGGCTGGTTGCTGGAAAATTGCCGGTTCAGATGTGAACTTCCAGTCACACCGATATACCGGGGTTTAACGGTATCGGTGACATAGAAATCCAATGCGAACCATGATATATATATGACCTTGTACTTATAGAAATTAAGTGTAATGTTTTTTTATCAACCTATTAATGAAAAAAAAAAAAAATTTGTGTTTTGTCGGGGGGAAAAAGAAAGAATGATAGAAAGAGGGTTAAGAAAGATAACAAAGAGGATTAGGGTTTTGTTAGAAAAAGAATTAGGGCTTAGTTGGTAAGAATCCATAGAAGATAAACAGTTCATGGAAACAAGAGGAAAAAGGGAAAAGAGACATAAAAAGAATTTGGTTGTAAAAGGTAAAAAAAGAAGTATCCAAGAAGCAAGAAAGAAAAGAGGACAAAGAAAAAGAAAGAAAAGAGGGGGGAGAGAGAGAGAGAGAGAGAGAGAGAGAGAGAAATCATCCACAGGGAGCGAAGCTTGGTCGGTAGAGAACAAGAGAGAGTCAAAGATGATCGTGCAAGAGTTTGAACCTTTGAACCAAAATACAGGCATAAATATTTGATTGTTTAATATAAAATGGTTTTATAAAACAATTTCTTTTAAGTAACTATGTAATGACCATCATATTACTGAAAACTATTAAACAACTCCACATATTTACACTTCAATCTAGCTTTCTTTCTAAAACTTTCTTAAAATTCCTAGGGGGGCCTTTTTTTTAAAATCAAAAATAAAATAAAATAAAATAAAATCCCAAGAATGGGACACACGTGTCAAACACGTATCCATGGCATGTCCGACACGTGTCCATGCCCTGTCCGAATATTCAAAAAAAAAAAAAAAAAAATTAGACGCGTTTTCTGGGGTGTCCGACACGTGTTGGGGTTTGTCCAGCGCGTATCAGTGTCCGACACGGATTCTTTGCCATTTTAACCGTGTTCGTGCTTCCTAGCTTAAATATACTCTTTGCTCTTGTGGACTTTAGTTCATGACATTTAATATGTACTGGTGCATATTGGCAATTCAAACTGCCTAATAGATCAATGCAGCTCAGGTGATTAATTTAAATGGAAAAGGCATCTAAATAACAATTGCTTTGGTTACATGAGCAAAGCAGCTTGGATGATACAAAATTAAACATAAATGAAGCATTTGCATCTCAATATGGGGCTAAATTAGGAAAGCTGCATTTGCATAAGTGGACTCCACAGCCGAAATTCCAAGATTACCGATCAACTGAAAACAACACAGCAAATCTCCCATATTCCAGGTTCTATATTTAACTTTTCCTGCATGTTCTCTTGATGAAGAACAGAAGAAATTTCATTGGAACTTCAGCATGGAACAAAATTTCGTACGAAAGGAACAGAAAGTTCTTGAACTGGGCTAAAGTCTGGCTGTTTTTGCCTATAAAAATTAGAGGGCAAATTTAGAGGGAAATCATGAAGATTTTAAATTGTTGAACCTGGCACAGTGGCATGCAAAGGGCTACATATACGCTGCTGTAAATAGTGTTCTCAAAATGTGCAGAATGTGAACCACACATAACAACGTAAAAAATCACAAGAAGTCAATTTCTCCAAGTTGATTGCATGATCAGTAGCCCCATACATATCACCAGTATACAAAATTTGCTCCCCTATCAAATCTGATATTGATTCTAATTTCAAATTCAGTTGAGTCAAACTTCAGACCCTGTTTCGCGTTGAAAAGATAAATAAAGTTGGGACACTACGAAATATATATTTAATCATAACCACTCCAACAGAACCATTCAGCACAAAATTAATCATAAAACCCAAAATCCAAATTTTCCTCCCATACAAAAATAACCTCAACTTCCAAAAACCAAATTCTCATCAATAATCCCCCAAATTTCCAAGTTCACCCTAGCCACATTCAAATTCAACAATCCAACCAACAGCACAAATGCATTAATTATGGAAGAAAAACACTGAAAACCCACTTGATATTTAGCTTGAAAAACAAAGCGAAACTTCATACCTCAGTGAAGTACAAATTGAAAAAACCAGATGAAAGTATTTTAGTTGAAATTCAAGAAAACAAGCTTCGAGAGTCAGGAACACCTGCAAATAAAGAAAGAGACCATTGTAATCTAATATATTGTATATACATACATATAATTACTTATAATAATCTAAAGTACTAGTAATTTATTTTAAGCAAATATCAAAATAAATTAGGTTCCAGTTCTGTCTAAAGCTATTAGGTTCACCAGATGATGCCATCCTTCAAATCATTTTAAGCAAATGCCTAAAGATTGTTGATTGTGAAATTCAAAAGTCCCTTCTTAATTCTTTTCCAGCATCCATGAAAAAGACAAGACAAGACAAAAAAAAAATGTATATATAAAAAAAAACTTGGCTGGTCAGATCAGTAAGAACCCACATCAACCCTAGAATTTTGCTATAATTCATGAAGGGGTCCAGAAGTTAAAGAAATAAAATGTCAACCTAATATTCTGCATTTAGGAAAAAAATTCAGAAAATGAAGGAGATAAAACCAGATTTAATTCAAATTGGGTTTTGCCATGACTATAGCCAGAATTCAAATAAAGAATCAAAGCATTCAAAATCCCAGATAAGAAAAGTGAAACAAACCCCATTTCATATTTGCAACAGAAACACAATTTTTAATGAAAATTTTGGCTAGAAACTACCTTTCGTAATCAAGAATCTAAGTTTGTCCCTTGAAGTCTCAACACAAAAACATAGGAAAATCAAAATTCTGGCTTCAATTCCTTAGGGCTTGAATAAAACAAGGTCAATTTCTATGCATACCCATGTGTGACAACTTGCAGAGGATGGAAAAAATTTATCAAAGCTAAAACTTGATGTTCATGATATTCTAATATAATGTTCTTTTTCCCATAAATGATAAACCCAAATCCCAAATTTGCTAAATTGAAACCCTAACAAGACTCTTTAATATGAACAAGGTAGAAAAAAGAAGAGAGAGAAAAAGAGGAGGTGAAAACCATAACTAAACACTTTCTCTCTCTCATCGTTAATTTTCAACAAATCGAACTGAAATCCGCAAAAGGATCAAAGTGGTAACTTGAAATTAACGATACTTTGATGTAATTGATATCACAAATGATAAGCCCAAAACCCGGATTTGCTGAGCTGAAACCCTAGTTAGAATGTTTGAATATGAACAATGTAGAAAAGGATGTGCAAGGCCGGCCCTGAGATTCCAAATATTTTGAGAGGCCCTAGGCGAACTTTCAAATGCGAGGCCCTTAAGTTTCACACGTGCAAAAAAAAAAATTATAAGAGTGCAAAATTTTCACACGATGTTTTCAAATTCCATAGCTAATATAATTGTGCGCTTGTGCAGTGTGTATAAGACAACTAACTAATAACTATAAATTTATCACCACCAACAAATAATTGTGCGTCTATACAGTGTGCATAAGAAAACTAACTAATAACTATAAATCTATCACCACCAATAAATAATTGTCGCCTATACAGTATGCATAAGACAACTAACTAATAACTATAAATCTATCACCACCAATAAATAATTGTGCGCCTGTGCAGTGCTGACAACTAACTAATAACTATAAATTTTTAACACCACCAATAAATAATTGTGCGCCTATGCAATTTGCATAAGACAACTAACTAATAACTATAAATCTATCATCACCAATAAATAATTGTGCGCATGTGCAGTGTGCATAAGATAGCTAACTAATAACAATAAATCTATCAATTAAAGAGTGCGAAATTTTCACAGGCACAAAATAAAAAATGAAGAGAACAGTTTACTAGAGAATAGAAAACTGCAGCTTCTTTTACATTCATTGTTTATATAGCTACTAAAATTTGATGATTATAGATGACAAAAATATGTGGAGATGAGGTGACTATATATTATAGGAGGCTGAACTTGTAATACTAAAGAAGTAGTGGGACTTTTAAGTTATATGTGGCATCCACTATCATATATACTTTTGTCTTTCACTCTTCGTATTAACTACACTACACTTATTGTTTGTTTTTTGTTTTTTTGGGAGCCAATTACCCCTTTCTTGATTTCAGGATGAGGAATCAACTTTGGTAGCAGTGATTGGTTGATCATTGCTACAGAAGACCTGTGCAAATTAATAGAAAAACCATTAACTTTTGTTTTGTTAAAGCCTGCTTTTGATTTCCATGTGTTTGTACATTCTGATGGCAAGTGCTTTGACAGTATTATTAACTGAAATTCTAGCTGAGCCAACTTCAAATAACATCAATAATGGTGGTATGTATCTTCATATAAAAAATAAAATATAAAAAAACCCTTAATTTGGCACTTTTAAGTATGAGCATAATTTAGAGACCGAAAAAGTTAATTATTACCTCAAAGGCTCAACCCACTAGAAGGGATCCTTAATTTTCGTAGGATTGAATGTGAAAATGCAAAAAATTACGAGGAAAAGGGGTATGGTTGCTGCTGTTGTGAGATTGGAGTGGAATTAGGAAGAGGGAAAAAAAAAAAAAAAAAAAGTGCCTGCCATAGATTATGGACTCGATCGCCATGAAAGACACATGTAGAAAGGCACACATTTATTAAAATACTAAGAGAACCATAATATATTCATTCAGCTTTTGATAGCCATCACACACAGTGACACACACGCACACAAAACCCTAGTTTGGAAGCTACTTTTCACTATTGGAACAAAGGTAAAGGCCCGAATCAAACGAACCAAAGTTAGAACAAAACAAATGATGAGATGAACGAAAGAAAGAAACATATACAAAAGATCGATTCATGCAAAAGAAGAGTCTGGAGAGAGAAGAGAGAGAGAGGATGAACATACCTTGTCACCTGAGGCGATAGCGGAGGCTGCGCCCTGCGGAGTGTCGAAGCAGATTGTGTCGTCTGAAACTTGCCCTAACATCAATTTTTTTTTTTTTTTTTTTTTTTTTCCATCCCATATGGGCCTCAAAATTTGACTCCTCTAAAATTTGAGGCCCAAGTCGACCAAGACTTGTCCAAACTTAAATTTTTTTTTTCCATCCCCTATGGGCCTCAAAATTTGAGGCCATTTTGAGGCCCTCTAAAATTTGAGTTGGCCGCCTTGGGGCCCTGAAGATGTGAGTAAAAGAGAAGATGAGAACCACACACACACACACACACACACATGAATCAAAACAAAAACGAAAGAGAGAGAAGAAAAGACATGGACTTACAGGCAGTGAGGGCGTCTCAGTCAGCTTGTCCTCGGTCCATGTCTTGGAATAGGTTGTTATTGTTATATCTGTGGTATGTTTAAGGATATCCAAACACCGAATAGGATATTAGGTTTTTATTTATTTATTATTTATATTTAAATCAAACACATACTCCGTACTAGGATATCCAGGTTTTTTTTTTTTTTTTAAATAATTAATTTTATGGCAAATACACACGAATTATTAACAGTCGGTATAATTAACACCTTTACCAACGTCTTTTACATATATATATATATATATATATATATATATCTATATATAATATTTTCGTCTTCTTTCTAATATTGTTTATTGTTTTCAATAAAGGTTGTGAAAGACTAAGGTGATAAAATTGAAAATGAAGTACTGAAATTTTTTTTAAAAATTTTAAGTAGTAATTAAAAAGTAAATAATTTTTTGAATTTTTTTTCCTTTATTTTCAGCGTTTAGCATTTAGTGATAAGTGATTTAAGATCGTTTTAATATTCAAATTGCTTTATCAAACACATTTAATTAGATAAACGCTCAATTCGTTTAGAATTCACCACCGAAGTTTTCAAACAACACCTAAAAGTACTTTTATTTTATTTTATTTATTATTATTTTTTTAGTGATATCCAAATTTTGTTATCAAACGTATTTAATTAAATAAGCACTTAAACGTTGAATTGAGTTATCAAATAACAATTGTGTTCATATTTTACCGGCACTATTTTAAAGGGTTAAGTGCAAATTAACCCCTAAATTATTGCCCTTTTGCAAATAACCCCCCAAACTAAAAATCGCCCCTTGAACTATTGATTTGTTGCAATTAAGGACAAATTAATCACAAAAGATTATTTTACCCTTTCTCATTAAAATTTTCATTTCTTATTAAATTAATTATTTTTATTATATTTTCTGTTATGTAAATATTAATTATACTATTTACCTTAATTTTATTTTTAGTATCAATTTATCATAAAAATGAAAAAAAAAATAAAAAAGTAAATTTGTAACTACCATTTTCTAAATTGATTAATTTATTATTAAAACTTTATTATTTATAATAAAATGTATTATAACCAATTTAAACATTTTTATCGTAAAAAAATATCATTTTTTCATACAATATATTGATGAAAATTTAATAAAATACTTTTGAAAGAAATACCTTTTTCACATAATATATTCATTAAAAATTAAAAAATTAATTAATTTTTTTAAAAAAATTATACTAAAATTTTTTATTTAAATAATTAATTAAAAAAATTAAAGGTAAATTTATGCAAATTTAATGGAAAATATTTCATCAAATTAGTATGAATTTTTTCATAATTTATTTAGATAAGAAAAAGGGACATTATGGTCATTTAATGAAATATATTGTAGTCCTTGGAGTATGTTGCAACAAAAATAAGATAGTTTAGAGAATTTTATGTACAAAATATAATTTAAAGAAGTTATTTACAAATTTAAACATAGTTCAAGGGAATTTTTTGTGTCCTTTTATTTTTTGTTTTTTATTTTTTTTGGTCACGTGAAAGTGAGTAAAAAGAGGTGACATCTTTCCATTCCAATGAATTCTTTATGTTCTCTTCCATCTTTTTTATTTTGTATTTTCTTTTAATTAAAAAAAAAAAAAAAGTGAAGAGATGATCATTTGCTTCTTTTCAATTTATCAATTATTGGAGAATTGTTCCATCCCCAAACTTTATATTAGAAAAAAATTATGTGAAAATAGAAAATAACTTAAAATTTTAATTATTTGATTGAAAGTTTTTTTTTTATATTATTTTTTTATCGAGTTATAAAAGGCTTGAACTTTCATTTTAGAGTGTATTTTGTTAGATAATTTATTGGTTAGCAATTCTGAGGCTCTAACAAATTGTAATTTTTTTTAGTCTATCAATAAATATCTAGATTATTGTTAAGAATTATTAGATAATTTCTTAATTGTCAAAGTCTAAGCTCAAGGAATTGTAATACTGGTATCTTTTTTACCCCGTGATACTAAGTTATTGTTGAGAGTTATCATATCAAGAGATATAACCTCATAAGTGGTTGATGGTAAAGGTAGATACAAATTTAATAAAATGAACACGGATGAAGAGAGAGAGAGAGAAAGTCTCGTGTAGTACACGGAGAAGAACTCTAGTGCATGAGTTTGTGTATGCCTCTTCATTTCGGGAGTTTTCTAGCTAGATTTTTGGACCATGCATACAAGCTTCTCTTTCTAACTAAATTGGACAGGTTCCAACTTAGGGCTGAGAACACAATTCAGGAGATTGGGTAAATCCAGCGACCTGGTCGGATTGGAGGAAACTGTAATAGGCAGTGTGAAGCTAGTTATCAATTCACATTCTATTTCACTCGTTTATGGCGTACTTGTGTAACATCTCTATTTTTCATCCATGGATGTATAAATATCTAGATTATTGTTTAGAGTCATGAGATTGAGATAGATGTAATTTAAGGACAGTTAATGATAAAGGTAGATATGAATTTGACAGAGGAACACGAGAGAAAAATACAGATAAAAACTTTGATTTTGAGTGAATCACATAAATCTTTTATTTTAGTGCGATTTTTTTATTGCTTTTGTTGAATTTGAATGTTTCTTCCCCTACCGTCGTTCCTATCAAATTGAACTAAGATTAATAGATCATTTTTATAGTTATAATTTGTCCTTTCAAAGTGAGAATTTTTTTTTAAAATAAAAAGTGTTAAAAATTAGATTAGTAGATGCAGAGAGTTTAAGTCTGGCAATTCAAAATTCAATCAGACACAAACTTATCGAGACATTTATTTGTTAAAGTGATAATGACTGAGCGTCTTTCACAAATTTGAATATGATATAGAGTTTTTTATTCCTTTGTTTGATAACACGTTGACTCTGCATTATTTCACATATTTCTTGATAATTTTTCATGTCAGAGTCTATATTACATCCACCTTAATTAGCAGGACAAATAAAAAAATCACGCAATAATTTCTCTATATCAAAACTAGTTCAATAGCAATAATCAGCTAAAATACCATTTTCTCTAAAACAACATTCTGTCATAGAACCTTATTTTTTTATATCCAAATTAGTTCGAGCACAATAGTTAGCTAGAACATTAGTTTCTCTCTAGTTCAGTATTTAATTTCTAGTTCAGTATTTAATTTTGGTTAGTGGAGATATGATAAAAGATGTTGGTATATTGAATCTATTTTCTTTCATCAGTAATACCTCTATTGCTTTCGTTTAATATTCTTTTTCCACATTTTTGTCCCCTTGCTATAGTAACTTGCTCGGCAAGCAAAGAAGCCATAAACAATTTGTATTAAGTTACCACTCACACTCCCACCCCTAAACTTTAGGCTCACTTTTTGGACTTGCTAATTACAAATGAGACTCCTGCCATTTTATATAGGCATCATTCTTTCCGGTGAAAGGTTATAATGCATTACAATGGTTAAGATTTATCCTCTGAAACTTTCCATCTAACTAAACTTACAATCTCTACAAATTCTTTATTTTTATAGAATATTCTCTAATCTACAAATTCTTATAAGCTCTTTCATGTATGTTATAAAATCTTCCAATATCTTTACAACACTTCACAATTTAAAACCCAACCATCCACATATATCATGCAGACATTACATACAATTCTCCTCAGCACTCGTGTGTCATCTATGTGGTGCTACCTCCTTTCATATTGGCAAACATTTTGCTCTAAACATATAATAGAGAACATGAGAAATTTTCAGCATTATCTTTAGAGTAATGATAGGGGAACTAAAAACAAATCTTTGAATTAACACTTAATTAGACGTGGTTGGCCACATCAGTTTCTATTGTTTACTCCGGACATATTTTTCTCGTTTTTGTCCTTATACTTATTACATACCCTTCATTTTCTCCTTCTAAAATTTATCAATCTCATTCTCTAAAATTTATGAATCTTATTGTCAAAATAATCTCTCCCGTGTCTTCTATTATCACCATATCTTAGTTCATAAGTTCTTATTGTAAGATATTTTCTTATATTTGTAGCCCACAAGATTTGGACACGTGATTTACTTCTATTATTTGGTAGTTAAATAAAATATATATCAGATTAATATTACATTATTTGGTCAACTTATAAATTACCTTTTTGGTAATTAATTATTGGAGAAGTATTTTCCTATTTATTCCTTACTTTGATGAAAAGTGGAATTAAGGTTACTAAAAAGGAAAACTGGTCATCTATCTGCCTTTATAAAGTGCATATTCCCCATCAATTATGTACGATAATGGAAACAACACGTATAATGTTTATATGTGTAAAAGGCCTACAGAGAGAACCAGTTTCTACGCTTTGCCTATTGATCAGAGTTGCAACTTAATTCGTGGTTAAAAGATCTGGACGTTGGACTTAATCTCAACAAGGTTTGATATCATGAATCGAGGTATTTATATCTAACTAGTATTTATTTATGCATTATAGATTATGTGAAAAGAATGAAATTTTAAGATTATGGGATTCATATTTATTTGTGATGAATGGCTTAATACGAATAATTATAGTTTACATGTGGTATCAGAGCTTAAGGTTTAAGGACTCATTATTTTTCTTTAACGTTGCATAAATAATATTTGATATATAATGATGATTGCATGATTGAATAATGTATTGTTTTGAATCCGCACTGTGGATATGTTTTGATCAGTATTTTCCGTGGGTTTGTTTGGATCAA